CGGGGAGCACAAGGGCAGTTGCTGACCTCCAAAAAAAAAGAAGTAATTTTATTGGAATACAAGAGTTTTTTCTTTTCGAAATCCGAATAGAAAGGGTACACGTTGTATTCGAATACAATGTGCAGGTTTCTACTCTAGGAAATCTGCTATTCGAGAAAAGTGCACCCGCAATGTTTCCATTTTCGAAAAACACTTAAGGACCGCGGCCTCCTCGGCCTCCTACGGGCAGCTACCGGTCCTATGTGGTCCTGGCCCTTGCAAGGCCCCAAAAACTCAAAATGCCCACCCTCCCGACGACCACCGACGTTGAAATTTGATTGACGTTGAAATGTCTCAAGGGGGAAAAACGCAACCCCGATGGGCTGCAAACACGTTGTATTCATACTCTGCTATTTGAGAAATGTGCACCCGCACCGTTTCAATTTTGAAAAAGGCTTAAGGACCGTGGCTCCTTGGCCTCCTACGGGCAGCTACCGGTCCTATGCGGTCCTGGCCCTTGCAAGGGCCCAAAACCTCAAAATGCCCACCCTCCCGACCCAAAACCTCAAAATGCCCACCCTCCCGACAACCACCGACGTTGAAATGTCTCAGGGGGGGCTGCAAACTATACCGAGCGTTAGGGCTGCAAATTCCTACTGATTAACTTCAATCTACTGAAACTCCTCATTTAGCCACAGAACCCCGTACGTGGGGTGGGGGTCCAATGGGAGCCGTTTTGACAAAATCACTCTCTTCTCCACAGACTACACCTGCCTGTCTACTGTGACCGAACCAGTAACCGAGTGTGCAGGTTAATTATACTGTTCATCTGATCACAGCTGGATTCAAACTTCGGTTTCTATTTCAACAGCCCTCATGCTCCCTGTCCCTGACACACTCCATGCTGCAGGGCTCTCTCTCTCTCTCTCTCACACACACACACACACACACGCACACACACACTTGGACTTGGGGGGTAGTGAACATGACAACATAAATACAGCATAATGATTACCTTACCCTTCCTCACCCACATCAACAGACAAACTAGGGGCTGCGTACCTGTGCCCTCATGGTAAGGCAAGGTGGGGTAGGGGAGGGCCGACGTTCGTCATCTGAAGGGGATTCTGGGAGGGGTAGGGGGGCAGGTGTAGGGGAGGGGTAGGGGTTTGAGCGGGGGCTGTCCTTGTAGGTAGGCCCGGGGATGCAGACCCGGGGCAGGAGACCGGCATCAGTGTCATGCTGTTCAGTGTGCTTGGCTGACAACAGAATCTTGGTAAAGGTCTTCGTTCCCAGAACGGCTCTTGTGGCAGTCGGTTTTTCCATCATCATCACTTCGCTCCCTATTTTGCAGCCTATGACCACAGACGATCTAGGCCTTCCATTTCATTAATGCGCGACGGTTCGGATTGGCGGCTGATCGTTTCCGATGTCGTCAACTGGCCATCTGTACCGTCGTCGGCGTTGTACCCCACGGTCCAAATTTGTGTTGATCGTTTTGGGAACCAACAAAATTTGTGTGTTGATCGTTTTCGGAACCAACACCCACACAGAACACACGCACACAGGCACACACACGCACACACATCCCCACGCAGAGTTGGTGGTGTTAACCTCTTTTACTTCCTGCAGGTTGGACTCTGCAACCTGAAGCCTGGACGCTGAGGCTTGGGCTATGCATTGCGTCGAGACTTTCGGACGACAGTGCCACGATGACTGAAGGTGAGTTAACTCTGTTTTGTCATTCATGTCTTCGTTTCTTTGTGCGCTCTGGACTGTGTGTGTCGTTTGGTGTGTGTGTGTGTGTGTTTGTGTGTGTGTGTGTGTGTGTGTGTGTGTGTGTGAGAGAGAGAGAGAGAGAGAGGCTGTTCTAAGCTATTCTACTATGCGACTGCACGCTACTCTACGTCACTCTACAACAAAGCTTCTCTATGCCACTGCGCTACTGTGCTACCATAACTTCGTCACTCTACTGCGCTGCTCACCGCTGCTCTACTAACACACACACGTACACACACACACACACACACACACACAAAGAGAGAGAGAGAGAGAGAGAGAGAGAGAGAGAGAGAGAGAGAGAGAGAGAGAGAGAGAGAGAGAG